TTCAGTAAATTCAGACCAGGAGTTATCAGAAACTTTAAAGCAAGTTTTGGTGACAGCTTTCAGATAAAACCGCAGTCAGAAGAACAATTTACAAGGTTAATGATGTCTTTTACCTGTGATATTCTCTGCCAAAAGTTATCTGTAACAGGAGGGTAACTTGTCCTGACTTACTGAAGTGGTTGTTCACCTTGGTGTCTTCTGGCACCATTTGGCACAGCTAAGCTGATCTTTGCTGTGGATGCTGTCATTGTTCTGAGTAGCTTCTAGTATAAGGAAAGGGCAGGAGATATATAAATATCTATATATAAATATGCACATGTGTTTATATATACATATAAGAATAGTAGAGAGTACTGTGGCATAACACCGTTTAATAAAGTTTATCAGTATAATTACACTAATAAATTTTACTTAATGTATTGCTGCTGGATCAGTTCCATTGTGAACATTGTAATGAAAAAATCTTTGGTCTTTAATATTTTCATTCTCTGGCATCTGAAATGTGATATTCAGCACATCATGTGACTTTTAGAATAGGAGTATGGCTTGGAGTGCCCTGAAGTGCAGATATGTATGTGTGAAGTAACAGAAAATAAAATGTGTTTTCCCCTAACTGGATTGTTTAGTACAAGTGAGAACATCACAAAATTACATTTCTACTTCCCCATTTCCTTTTATCTATAGGATCTGGCTAAGGGGAGATGATTATGCCAGTAGTAGTCAAGGTGAAAAGTAATGCTGGGAATGCTTAGCTCAGCTCCTGCTGCTCTAAGAAAACTCTTAAGCTCTTTAAGTTGCACAGTTTCCATACTGACTCTTACTAAAAAATCAGGGGGAATGGTGTAATTACTGTGTGTATTTGTGGTTTCTGTCTTCCTCCAAGCTGTTCACCAGGCTAGGCAGTTAGTTGAGTGTATATTTTACATACTGCTCTCTGCTTTTTTTTCCCTACTTTTTAAGGGCCTTTAAAAATTTGCCTTTAATTTCATATGAAACTTTGAGAAGTCAGTTATAGTAACAGTTGTTTAGATTAATAAGAAGGTTTAGGTTGATAAGTTTGAGTTCATAAAATGGTTGAGAGTTGCTAGAGGTCCCAGCCCTCAATGCAACCATGGGGACAGGGGTGCTATGGAGAGCTACTGTGGCATGGTTGTGGTGGAATTAACACTTTAAAGAAGGTGAGACCCCAGCCTCTGTGGAACCTGTGTCTTTCTTTCAAACACTCCTGGAACCAGTGACTGAACTTGAAATATGAGTGGATACCAGGAGCATAATACAGCTGTAACAGAAAATATAATAGGAAAGGTCATGATGTTGTGTTGTTGAAATCGGGAAGCACATGTGATCTAGGATCTTGTTTGACCAGCCCAGTAAGAGCACAGCCCAGAAATGCAGCCTGTGGCTTGCAAGAGACACTTCTGAGGAACTTTCTATAGGTTTTTATGTTGCAGTATTTGGAAGCTTTTCTATAAGTGTTGGTATTATATTCCTATTCTCTGTCTGCAGGCACTTCATTTTTTTTGTTGTTTTTTCCTCTTCTCTTTTTTTCTGCTTTTGAAAGCCTTGAAATTCTGAGGGGAAAGCTAGAATAGGAAAGCACTCTGCATGATGGCAGAGGTATGAGTGGAACTGAAGGCATCTGTTCAGTAGATCTCTGAGGAAATGGCTTCAGCAATGCTGCAGAAGTTTGTGTCATGCATGAGTATTCAGATGGTAGTTCTACCTTAGAGCTCTCTGAATAGACAGTTATGCTTAGTACTGAGTCCCACTGCAATATCTGAGTCAGTATTGTTGAATAATTAATGTCAAAAAAAAAAAAAAAAGAGCTATGATGCTCTTGTAAATAACGTCTGCTACTGGCTGAAATAAAAAACAAAAGCATGTCTCATGTAATGGTGAAGGGTGGGAAAAAGGAAGAAAGTGAAAATCGTTTTGGTGAATAAGACTGAGGAGCAGGATGGCAGAAATACAAATAGACAGATCTTCTACTCTTTAAAGGATCTCTAACAGTAGGATGAAATAAAATGCCAATACAGAGAATTTACTCTGTAAAAGCCTGTATGACAAGGTGCTCAAGGTCAGGTGTTGAACTGTCTGACAGGGTTTATTTGTAACCTTCCAGGTGACTTCTCTTTCTTCTCTATTAAAAATCTCAAAAAACAGCACTGGGAATTTGAATATTTCTGCCTTCACCTATGGCTTGGGGAGAGGGGGTGCACATGGGCAATGTCCACTTGCAAAATTACTTCCAGATGACTTAGGTGATAAGCTTGTGTGAGTGAGCACCTCCACAGAAATACACATTCAACTATTTATTAGTGGATTCTTCTCCCCAATCCTGCTCTAGATTCAGATGCCTTCTGCTGGGAATTTGCTCTGTGAGCCTGCTGATTCCCAGATCATGAGCTGTAGAGAGCTGAGGTTTGGCTGGAGGCAGTTCTGTGTTTATATCTCCTGCATATTGGGCAGATGATCTCAGGTGCAGCTCAGAGATGACGTGCAGAGACCAAGGGAGGTTGTAAGTCAAGCCAGAAGGGATCTGTCCATGTCCTTCTGAAGGAAGTACTGCTTTGCAGGTGCTGCAGAAGCTTCAGAATGAATGGGCAGTTATTGGGAAAACAAATAAGACTGGAAAATGAAAGTGGGCAGGTAATAAAGTATCCTCATGGAGGTGAGGGTGTTCTTACTTGATCACTTATATTTGCAGCACAATGGTGTTTGGATACAACCCAAAGCAAGAAATTTGTCCTCTGGAAGGGGAGAGAAACTGTGAAGAAGATTATGCCCTGTGCAGTTGTGCTGTGCAGGAAAGATGAGTGTGAGTGCATCCCTGAGAAGTGCTGAGCCTTAGGTTTGGGAGACTTTTTCTCCACTGAACAGCTGTGTATGTACATAATTTATACATAATACACAATACCTGTACAAAGAATTGGGCTGTGGCAGCTGTTGAGTATTCCCAGGTAGCTGAAGGTCTTGGAAGGTCTTAAATATCCTTTCCAACAGGCACTTGATGGAGTTATGTAGGACATGAGAATTAAATCAGTGCTGCTGATGTTTTGCATGATTAGCTAGTTAGTAACTAATAAAGTGGTGCATTGTACTTATTTATAGTATAAGGATCTTCTGTAGAAATAAACTTCAGTTCCAACTGGACAATTGGATCCTTGTCCAGATCCTGCTAGAGTTTCCTAGCTGTTTACAGGGGTATTAACAGTGCTCACAGATGGCTATCTCATGCTTATGAATATTTTTAATTGTAACTTTCCGGTTAAAATTAAAGGGAAGCAATTGCTTTGTGGTGTCTCCCCTGAACTGGAAGACAGCACAGGGTGAGATAACATTTAACCATTCCTTTGCATCTGGGTGGGGATTATTGAGGTCCAGTTGAAGCTGTGTTTGGAGGGTGGGAATGTGGTAAGTGAGAGGAAGGTTTATGAGCACACCTTCACTGTAAGAGTTCCTGGTTGTGGCTGCCATGAACAGCCTCCCCTGATTGAATTGTTCTGGCTCACAGTTACTGTGCTTATCCTGATACATTTAAAAATTGTTAGTGAGTTGGCACGACTCTGTGGAGCCATGATGTGCTCTAAGAGTGTTCACTTTTTTCAGCTGGTTGTTTTGTGGTTTATAGAATCACTGAATCATTTAGGTTGGAAAAAACCTCTTAAAACCATCAAGTCCAACTGTTAACACCATGTTCACCATCCCATATCCCCAAGTGCCACATCCACACATTTTCTGAGCACGTCCAGGGATGGTGATTTTACTGTTCTGGTGGAATTTGAGGTGTTCCTATGCTTGTTTCTACCTATAGTATCTTAATTGTTTACAAACTTGAGGTTGAAGTAAATAAGAACTCTTGGGACTGCACTTAGGATTGTAGAAGCAGCCATAACTTTCTAAAGACCAGACTTATTGATTATTTATTTAATTATTTATGAGTAATGGGAACAGGAAATGAAGGTCTTGCTCAGTGTGTAGAACATGCTGGGTCCTGGAGCAGCCACTTGTAGAGGAGATGCAGCTTTGCTTCTGTGAATTTGGACTAAAATGGCTGTGCAGAGCCATTTGGTGGAAATGACAAATAATTTATCCAGAGCAAGATAATGATCAGTAGGTATTTCAAGGGTTGGTTGTTTTTCTGGGTTTTTTTATTTGTTGTCTTTTTTATTGAGCTCTTCAAAAGTGTAGTATATGTCTAAGTTTATGTGGAATTATTACGGGTCTAAAGGGTACATCTCTGATGGAGGGATTATCCTTGACCAAGTTTTAGGTACCTGCTGGAAGGAATGAAGAGCCAAACTGCTTAAAAAAGAAAAAAGTTAGTGTACCTGAGCAGATCTGGGGGGTGTATACACATGCATCTGAGCATATGCAAAGGAAATTTAAGATAATATGGGCGGGATTGCATGTCTTTGCTACAGACATGCAACACTAAAATCATTCCAGCCACGTGCATCCTGGTTTTATAAAGAAAGTGTTGCAGTTGTGATGCTCTTTGTAGCCTGAAGAGAATGGAACTGATTAAGGAACTTGCCTGCTGTCTCTTCAGAAAATAGAGAATTATGTATGAAAAGTCAAGCAGGTAGCAGTAAAGATCCAAGAAATACTAATTTAAAGAGCTTGAGGTAGTGAAGCCCAACACTATTTAAGTTTCAAACTGTCTTCCTCTGTATATAATAGTGTTGAGATGCATATTCCAGTAGGTTGCTGTTAGGGAAAAAAAAGAGATTTTTTTTTAAGAATCTAACTCTTTAGTATGGAAAGACACCCTGTCTCATCAAAGAGGAACAATGCATTATGTCTTTGTTTTATTTAATCTGAAAGGAAGGATGAGTCTGAAATGCAAAGTGCAAACCTGTGACTGTCTGTCCAGATCTGAAAGTGTGAATTTGAGTTTTGCTTTAGGTTTGTCCTTTGGCGGTGTTCAGTTGATTTGGCATGCTTTTATACTACTCTATTTTTTAAGGTTCCTTAAATAAAACAACATAATGTTTTTACTTGCAGCACTTGAAGAATCGGAAAGTGACATTTATGTGCGATTCATGAGGTCACACAAGTGTTATGACATTGTTCCAACAAGCTCTAAGCTTGTTGTTTTCGACACTACGCTACAAGTGAGTATTTTTCTTTCAGTCTGCCTTTGCTTGCAGTTCTTTTTCTTTTTTTTTTTTTTTTTTAATGAGTGTTTCCTGAGTGTTAAATGAAATTTAATCTCTTGAAGAGAAGTGCTGCCATTGTGCTGTGCTTTGACTGTACAAAACTGTATTGTTTCAACTGTCTTTCCTGTTATGCTTGAGGAGGAGTTGGGGCAAAACATCCTAGCAGAACAGAAAGAGGGGATGTAATTCGGTTTGCAGTTGAATTCTCTGTCTAAAAATAAAAATTTCAGATGACCCCAGATTTGTATTGGCTTCTTCATGGCTACCTGAATCTACTTCAAAGACATTTGGTGTAAGACCCTTGTGCAACAGCTAAAGAGTACCCAGGTGCTATGAGCCTGTTCCTGCTATACTGATAAGACAGTTTAGGACTCAAATGGATGGCTTAATTATGCAAATTATTACATTCTCCAGAAAATTTTTGTTTTCAGCTTCTCATTTTGCATTTAATCAGTAAATCATCTGCTAGACTCTTGGCTCTGTCTGAAGAATTTGTTTGCCAAAAGAAGGCATTAGCTGCCTGCTATAGAAACAGACTAATCTGTTCTGCAGTGTGGTAGAAAGCTGTGGCTTTCTTTGTTTCCTGGATTTTGCAATTGGTATTTTTTTTTTTGCTTGCTTTGGTTTTTGCTGTTTCAGTGTGTTTTGCCTTGTAAAGATGCTCCAATTCTGACTTAACTAAGCCCATTTAGTAATTTTGGTCTGGAATGTACTACTCAGACCTTAGCTTTCCACAGTCAGAGGCAGCCATGATCAGATATCAGTCCCAAAACATTCACAGAACCATCTTGTGTATCAGATAATTGTATATAATGTTGGATTGAGTGCTATGGTCTGAAAGGTAAAAAATCTACATTGACTTTTTCACCATCTTTGAGGGAGGAAAGTTCTGCAGTATTTCCTTTCTTCTGCCTGAAAGAGAGGAGGACTGTCAGCTCTTGAGTAAAAAATTTAGACCTCTTTGATCTGAAAAATCAGCTTTAGGATGATGGGGTTCACTGCCATTCTTTCAGCTCTTCTCAAAGACTGTTGGCCTCCTTTTCATTCCAGGAGACACTTTTTCCTCACACTATGAGATAATGTGCTGGGAGTTGGTATCTGCAGTGGGCATGACCCACAACTTGCACTGTGTGCTCACCTGGCTCAAAGGCTTGAGCCTGCTCACCATTGCAATTGCAGGGATGATTGTTCTTTATTCCATTTACCAGTTAATCTTGAGGCCCTTGGGACAGGCCATTGATTCCCTTTGGAATCTCCAGATCTGTTGATGAATGACATCATGCCAGATACCAGTTTTTATTGCTGGAGCTGAGTTGAGAAAATGCTATTAATGTCAAGAAGTGAGAGTTTCCTCTCCAGGTGGCAAGCCAGTGTGAGGTAACACCTGGGGAAGCAGAGAGTGAGTGAGTCAGTTTTCACCATAAAAGGAGAACAGGTAACTTCATGGTAATGGAAGAACTTCCACCAGCACTTCACCAAAATCCCTGTCTTATTTGGCTTCCCTAATGATTGTCATGGATTACAGCTAGAGGAGAACAAGGAATACCTTGGTCTGTGATCGTGGAGTCATATTCTTAGTCTTCTTCTCCAGGTATTTGAAAGCATTGGTGATAGAAGGGATGTCTGGAGTTGCTCATTCAGAATGTAATATACAATAAATATGGACCAAATCTTAAGTTTGTATTGCTGGTGAGGAGGTTTTTTTCCCTCTAAACTGCATTTTTTTGACTTTACATTATTACACTTAATCCACTTGCATTACTTTCAATTCATAAAGTCGTAACACTGTAAAGCAGGAGTCCACTTCCAGCATGGGCACTATCTTCCAATTCAGGTTTTACAAAACTATTTAAGAGAACACTAAAAAGGTAGATCTGAATGCTTACCAGGGCTACACTGTTAGGTGGTCTCTTAAATACTTCTGTTCAGTATTTCTGTTTAGTTCTTTATCTGGCACCCTGTGTTAATGTGCCACCATCAGTTTCTTCAAAACACATTATGGTCATTGTTTGGTTGGTGTGGCTGGTGCACAAACATATATGGGAATATAAGAATAGAATAGCTTTTTTCATTTGTTTCAAACAGCAGAATAAGTACATGGTGGAGAATTAACCCAATGAGAGTGGTCAAATAAAACTTCTAAACGTTCCTTGTATTTTAATTTTTAATGTATAAATTATTTACTGTCCAGTACCTCAGGACTTCCTGTCAGTTCGTACTTTGAAAACCCAGCTCTGAAACATTCAGTGTCCATGAATCCTCTCAAATGGATATTTATCTTTCCTGGGTCTGTTTCATTCCTATCCAGAGCAGTGTTTCACCGAATATAAAAACAAACAAACAGGAAACACCCACCAGAAAAAAAGATCTGGTGCCTTGAAAAAGTTCACCAGTATTTTGAATTCAGGTTTCTAATAATATTAAAAACACACAAAAAATAATGCAATAATAAATAATATCAATAATATTAATAGGAACTCACTTCTTACCTCCCTTATTAATATAAGTTAGTAATCATCAGTGGAGGAAGAAGAAAAAAATAGGTCTGGGTTGTGTTCTCATGCATCCTTTGAAAGATTCTGGATTTTGGATTTTTGTTTGGCAGCAGTATCCCATCTCCCTCTGCTGGTCAGCGATCACAGCACACATCATATGCTTCTACCCTGGAAAATTATTTGTGAGATAATAAAATTTGGAAAGTATTCTAAACCTGTTGTTAGTTGTGGTAAAATTGGAGATGTTATCCTTACATAACAGGCACCAGTCGTACCACTGAAGCAACACTGATTCATGAAAGTAAATGTTTAGTCTCAGTGTCTGTGAGGGAATTCGTATGAAGTTTCAAAAGGAATCTTGTTTAAGCCCTAAGAGAGGGGATGGTGAGGTGCCCTTACATTGGAAATAGAAGGCTTTAAATAGCAGAAATAGCAGCTAATAAAGAGCAGGAAAAGGCTGAGAGTCTCTTCAGCTCTGCTTATCTGTCAGTCAGAAGGCATGGGGAGCTTGATTGCAGCAGCTGCCAGCATGTGGCAGGTCCCAGTGCTGGCACAGCACTCTGTGCTGGAGTGTCCAGAGCACAGGGTGGTGTGTTTCATCTGACACCTGCACTGTGACAGCTGCACTGTGGCTCTTGCACCTCTGCTGGCCATCAGCTCCTGTGGTGCAGAACTGTGCTTCAGCAGGACAGTGTGCCCCTTGGCACTCAGCATCCACACTAAATAAATGCAGTGTGCTGAGCCCTGCTCTGCCTGAGGCCAGCCAGCACAGCTCAGTTTGCCTCAGTGAGGTTTTACTTAGAGCTTCCCCAAAACAGGATCTGCATCTGGTCTGCCTGCCTGGAGTGGTTCCTATCCTGTGCTGAGCCCTGGAAGTGGCCTGGGAAAGTGCTTGCTGGCCCAGTTTTCTTGATCTAGACTGATAGTGGACTGTTTTTTTACCTTTTCAGTTTATTAATACTTATTTGCTCCTCATAAATATTTATAGAATCATATTGAACTTCATGGCTGTGGCTTTTCCCTACCCATGACCCACGAGTGCTCCTTGTTTGTGACAAGCTGCCGCCTTTGGCTTTTCCCAGGGAAGATACTGCCTTTGCTTGGCACACATTAAAGAAACTTCATAAAGTCTGATCTGACCAGGAAGGGAGTCAGGAGACAATTAGATGTTATGAGCTTTCCTGTGAAGCCTGGAAATTTGACTCTGTGGATGATGGGGAAATTGGGCAAGTTGCAACAGTGTGCAGCTCACCGTGGATAAACTTTCTCATCTTTTGCACATCTCCTGATGTAAACAGGAGGATAAACCCTTCACAGCTCCTAGGAGGGGTTATGGAGGTTGTCCCTTGAAGGGCTGCTCTAAGCATTAACTTACAATTCTTCTTCATTCTAATTATGCTAAATATAAATGGCTCTGGCTTGTTTTATTGGTCACCAGCTTGTGTCTTGAGCAGAGCATGTGAACACTGTACAAGTGATCATGCATTTGGTGGGCAGATGATCTGGGGGAGAAGGAGGGGACACCCAGGTCTGCCTTGCCTTTCTTTTTGCTGGTTTTAACCTCTGTCAGGTATATACAGTGACACAACAATCTGATCTTTTCCTTTGATGGAAAACAAAACAAAACAATTCTTGTATTAAATTCAAAGGTGAATAAAATACAACATTTTGTTCACATTCTGTCTGCCAGGTTACTTGGTCATCATCTAATGTGATTTCAGTTTTTCCTTCTTTGCATGCATCTGGTTTTTTTTTTTAGAGACCAATGCATTTCCCCCTCCCACCCTATCCTGAACTGTATTAGCATTTTTTAAGGAAATGCCTCTTACCTAGCTTATAGCAATCTCTGAAGCTTAGCTCCAAAAGCTTTCTTAAGGCCAGATTTTTGTCTGACCTTGAAAGAAATGCAAGAATGATCTGTTACGTAGTGGCTGTGTCTTGTGGAGTTTGCATAAGGTCTCTTTGGGTCAAAAGCTCTATCTAATCTTTGACTAAACTATATTCTTACCTGTTACAAGTAAATTTGGGTTTTAATAATAAAACATCTGTAGCTTTTGCTCGCCATGACCTTGAAACTGTTTTTAAAGCATTTGTCCAGCACTTCTTCATAAACTAATAAAAATCATGTTTATGTGGAAACAGTAATCAGAATAAGCTTTCAGAATCCTAAAGTCTCTTTCCTTTTATTTCCTTCTGTGTGCTGAAGAAATTTTGCGTGACTCGGATAAATGATTTAACCTGTCTGTTTAATGAAATTACCTAAGCTGTTAATGGACCAGATCTTGTTATCACCAATGTAGGCTTTTGTAGGAACCTGTCACTCTAGTAAGAGTTCAAATAATTTTCTACCACATAACTAAAAAAATTTATTTTAAACAGTGTTCTGGAAACCTCTTCAGTGATTTGACAAGCCATCAGTAAATATGCCTTGTAACTTCTGCAGAGCATGCAATGGATTCA